CAGCACCCCTCAGATGTGAGCAAAGCCCACCACCACACACATCCTGGGCTTCTGTAGGACCTATTCTGGCGTGAACTTGGTGTCTCAATCTTTGGAATTCAAGAATTGATTTAAAAGGTAACTTTCTGGTACCAAGCATGCTGCTCTCCTTCTAATGCTGAATTCACTTCATTATCCAAGCTCTTTAGTCTCTGACTTACAGTAAATAATTGTCCACAGCTGTTGTGAGTTGGTTTATCCTCCAATAAAGGTCAGGATGGCTGACTAGACATCAGAGGAAAAACTTCTAAAATTTGGTGTTTAGACTAACTTACATCTATGTTTATCTCTTTTGTGTTTGTTGTAACTAAATAGGCAAGTGTGGGTTGTGGTTAAAGCATGACCAGGCAACCTGGATGTCATGGTTTTCTTTCTAGTTCTAGTTAATTCTGACGCATGTGGAATTCTCTCCATCCTCCTATGCCTCAGTTTCCTTGGCTGTCACACAAAGGTCAGTATTGACCGGTCTCTCTCGCAGACTTCCACGGAGGGATTCGTGGGGATCTGCTTGTCTGTAATCTGTGAAGTCAAATACTGGAAACCAGCTTTATTTACAAGCCTGAGGGAGGGCCCGTCCGTCTCCATCGCTTGACAGGCGTCACTTAAAGCTGAAACAGCCACAAACCCAGGACTGCCAGAGCTCTCAAGATAGAACCACTCCCTGTGAATGATTACCTTGTACACCAGGGGGCCAAAGAAGCAAAAAGACCCCGCATCCCAGCAGGAAGTGGAATCTACCGGTGCATTTCCATTTACTGGGGGAACTGGGAGAAGAGGGAAGACTTCTGCCGCGTACATTTCCAGATGGGATTTCTGGGCTTGGCTTGTGGTGGGGCCCACACAAGGTCTCCAGCTGTGTCCTGGGATCTCTAGAGGGGGGCCTAGCAGCAGGATGAGGCAGGAGATGTCCTCCCAGGGATAAAAATTTATTAGGTTAAAACCTAATGAAACACAATTTTCTCTGGAAACACCAACATAAGGAGCAGAAGAATAAGCAAAGATGATTCCAAAGAAAATGTAGCCCATTGTGATGAAGGGCTAGGGAGGAAAGGAGGGAGACTACAGCAAACTACAGGCTGGAACAAAGAGCAAGGGACATCTGAAGATTTCTACAAAGGATGCTCCTGACCCCTCAGTTGAAGCCATTATCATCTCAGGCCTAGAATATTCCTGATGCTGCTGAACAGGCTTCCCTGACCTCAGTCTCATTTGTTGAATAATCCACTCCCATCATCAGGCTAATCTCGCTACAGAGTAGGAGCACGGAATAAAGTAGAGCCTCTTGGAGTTAGATGAACCTAGAGCTGCAAGAGTTATTTAACCTCACTGGGCCTCAATTTTCTCACCTATACAATGGGGATAATAATAACATATACCTTGTAGGGCTGTTAGGAAGATTAAATGAGATAATGCCCGAAAGGTTCTTGGTACGCTACCCAGCACACCAGAATTCTTCAATAAGTGGTGATTGTTACTCCTCCTAGACCATCACTTCCCAGCCTACAACCCTTCCATGAGTCCCTGTGGCCCATGGCATAAAGGCTGAGCTCCTTTTTACAGACTGTGGCTCCAGCTTGCTTTCTAGACCAGTACTGTGCAATAGAACTGTCTGCAATAAAGAAATGTTCTCTATCTGTGCTGTCCAATATTGTAGCCACTGGCTACATATAGCCATTGAGCACTCGTAAAGAATATGATGGAGAAACAGAATTTTAAATTTTATCTAACTTCAACTTACTTAGTTTTAAATAGTCACAGGGTGGCTACTATATTATTCTTTTGCATTTCCCTCGGAAGGCATCCACTCTAGCCAAATGGATTTTTTCACCTCTTGCTTTTTTGCCTCTAAACCTTCAAGTCTGCAAGGTGCTGCATACAGCTGTGTGGCCTTTGCACTGCAAAAAAGATGCCTAGCTGAGGGGAAAAGTAGGACCTGAAGTTGAGCCAGTGCTTGGCTCATCAACAGGCTTGTCCTGGGGTGGGCTGAATCGGCAGGGAGGATGGGCCGTTTTTCTCTAGTTCACCTACCTAGAGGGGTCCTTGCCCAAAGATGCCTTGATGCCAGCAGAGTACCTGTGTATCTACCCTCCTACCTATTACCTCTTTGGCCAAAGCCACCGTGTCTTATGAGACTAGCTCGAACGCCTGTTCACTCACTAAGCTTCTACCTCCTCTAAACTCTTAGAACTTTCTTTAACTGTGAGACAAGGTGGAAGCCAGTGATTAAGACTTCAGTTTCTAAAGTCATGTGCCCAGTTGGAATTTCTACTTTGTCACCTATATGTGACCTTGGGCATGTTATTTTATCTCTCTAAGCATATGTTCCAACTCTATAATGGGACAACAACAATATCATTTCTCTTATAGGATGATTTTAAGAAGTAAATGACAGTGTGGTTAGGTTCATTAACATGGTGCCTAGCTCACAGTAAGTGTGGATTCCATGTTTATGTATTCATTCTTTGTTTCAGTAAATATTTATTGAGCATCTACCACATGCCAGACACTTTGTCAAGCTCTGGAGATCCAGTAGTGAGGGAACACCTATAAAATCCCTGTCTGCCTAGCGGTGTGTGGAGATATAGGTGATGTTTCAAATGATGACACAAACAACTGTGGAACTTCAATGGGGACAAGTCCAAAGGGAGGAAAGTTTCCTGGTGCTGTGAGAGCCTGTGGTAGGTTTTGTCCTATGCAGGGAAATCAGAAAAGAGTTTTTGGAGGACAGGATGCTTGAGCTGAAATTGGAAGGAGGCTGAGCAGGTGTTGACTAGTTGAAGAGGAGAAGGACAGGTGTCCCAGGCATGGAAAATAGCATATGCAAAGGTCTTTGCTGGGTAGGACTGAAGGGCCCCTAGAGGGAAAGAAACAGGAGGCCTGGGCAGCCGGGGCATGCTCTTATAGTCAGCAAAGGTCTGTTTTTCTTCTCCATGGGTTCTCCCTGGCTTCACTGTGGAGAATTGATTAGATGTTACACAGGGTAGAAGCAGGTAGATCTTTTGCAGCCCTCCTGGCAAAAGATGGTGGTGGGGAGAGACCAAAAATGCTTAGATTTGAGAGCTATTATTATGTTCCTCTCATCTAAGGATTAATAACATAGTATTTTTTGGATTGTTAACAGTTTAGTATTTCTGTTTTCTCAAGTCTCCTATCACTGTCTGAAATGCTGTGCTCTGTCGCCCCAATTAGAGGATAAGATCTTTGCAGGCAAGAGTTATTTTATATTTATTTATATAACTTGCATGGCACTCTGCTTACAGTAACTGTAAAAGGAATATTTGCTAAGATATTTTCTGAATTTCATGTACTAGTGAGAGGGACAATACTATGAATGGCTGAAAGTATAGGGGGGTTGTATGTGATAATAGAAATTTCATTTTACCTGTGTTATCAAAGGAGCCATGCAAAACCAGTAAGGAAAAAAATATACACTCAGTTACCCCAACTTAATAAGGAGAAGGACTTCTTCTCCAGATGAGCAAGTCTTACGTGAAGGAAGTGAGTAAAACCAGCGTAACAGTATTTACCCCCAGGGTACTTGTAATAAAAGACAGGATCTAAAAGTGATCTTCGTGTGCGCTCTACATGCAGAAGTTGGTGTTATTACTTATTGAAACAAAAAATAGCCCATTTTTCTTTCTTATTTTCTTCTCAACTTCCAGCTTTTACTTGAGTTGTTTGTTTGTTTGTTTTTTTAGGGGAAAGCAGTAGAAACCCCAACTCAAGGTGACTTAAACCAGAAGGAAATTACCTTCTCAGATAGCAAGTGGTCCAGAATCTGGGTTGTTCTCCAGGAACATCCAGGAGCTCAACTATGTCACCAAGGATGAGATTCTTTCCCACTGTGTTTTGGAGAGCATCAGCCTCAAATCCAAGCTAATTCCACGCAAAGCCATAAGGTACGTAGGGTAGCCCAGGCGTGGAAGGGAAAGTTCAGAGCAGCACATACAGTAATCTGCATCCTTACCCATCTCTATCAGAAGAAATGGGAAGTTTCTCCCCTGCCATGAACTTAAACTCATCCTCTTCAGTCAGATTGGGCCAAAGAAGGTCATGTGCTTGTTTCCAGACTAATCACAATCTCCATGGAAAGTGCGAAGCTCTGATTGACTTAGAGTAAGTAAGGTACCTACTGAGGATAGAGAGGCTTCAAGACCAAAATTGGGTGTACATTCATACGTGGAAAAGGGAGAAAGGTGTTGGAAAGGCAACCAGTTATGCCTTCCTAGGATGAGCTGCTTTCTAGAAAAACAAGATGACTTTATAACTCACTCCAGTTCCACTCCATTCATCCATCCATTCGTCCACTCACTCATGAATATTTATTGGGTGCTTACTCTGCACTGGGCTGTAGGCAAGCTTATTGAGGCATCTCAAGAATTTTTCAACTACCTCTGCTCATATTTTTCATTCACTTGCCCCATATGGAGGTAAGTAGCCATATAAGAGACCAACCTATTCACGTGGCACATTTTTAAAACCCCATGCTCCCAATACTCAGTTCTCTCATTCAGATCTTCATAAATCTGGATTCCAAGGGGACCAGGTCACAATATCATTTTGGGCCGTTGTCAAGGAGGATTTATGATGATTGTGCACATGACCCAACCATATGCTGTGGCTGGGAAACACTCAGGTTAGCCTACTTTGACATATGTATTGATGACAAAGAAAGTCACACCACACCCCAGGAAAAACACAACATAAAAACATTCCCAATTTATCAGTGAACTGCCTGTAATAATAATGGCCTTCTTGGTAAAATCAAGACATGATTAAAAATAATTAATGGATATTTCTTGAAAAAGGCATAACAGTCAGAGGATCTGGAAGCCAGCTGTCGTAACATTTCTCAAGAAGAAGGTGCATTTTATTGGCTCCGTGAAATGTGTGCCTTTAGCCCCTCAGCAAAAGGCCAGGGAAGGCAGACCTGACCCAGAGATAATGCTGGTTTTCTGTTCCTATATCCTTTCAGCACAGAGCCCGAGTATTCGGAAACAAGGTGTGATTTTTCCTAACTGAACTGATCGTTTCCAGTGCCTGACCTGAGAAATCTGCGTGTCTTATTACCTGGTGATCTGGGAGAATGGGATCCTTTGTCTTCACACACACGAGTCACTCAACTTCCTGAATGAAGTCAGGGAAAGAAGGAAGAAAAATCCAGTGAGCTTCAGTTTCCTTATTTGTCAAAGAGAGATAACACCATCTATATCACATAGGTAGGTATGAAGATTAAACAAAATGCTGTATACAGAGGGGGGTGGGAGAGGAGTTGACTACGAAATGGCAGCATGAGGAAATTTTTTAGAGAAGTGAGTCTGTTCTATATCTTGACAGTGGTGTTGAATACGTAGCCATGTTCCTTGTCAAAAATCATGGCTCTATACACTGAAAAGAGTGACTTTTAATTTATACAAATAAAGAATAAATAAAATGCCCAGACACACAGTTTTTAAGTAATAAATCCCAAAGTGCCGAGTTAGATTTTTCACGTAGCACTTAAAAAAATACAGTTCCCAGCTTCAAGGAAGGAATCATTTTGAGGGACATACACGTGAAATGTTAGCTTCCTCATCATCTCCGTAAAAGGTGTCTCACATACACTCACATCTGATTCTCAGGTTTGTCACTCTCCTGTCCCCTTTGCACTGCTGCTCCCTTTGTCTGGAATAATCTTCTCTCTTCTCTGCTACAGTTGGTTAGTTCCTCTTTACCTCTTGGATCTTAGCTGAGTCACCTCCTCCAGGAAGCATTCCTGAAAGTCCTCTTCCCTGGGCTCAGCTATGCACTTCTCAGTACCTCCTACCTGTAACTCTGCTCACATGCCTGGTACTTCCATGGATTGTGGGTTGCTGAGGGTGGGAACTCTTGAGTCTTGTTTTCTCTGGTCGCCTAGCACCTGGGGCAGTGCCTGGATGATAGGTGCATGATAAAGAAGACAGTGCATGATGAGGGATAGAGAAATATTTTTCAGTAGATGACAGGTTGATGGCAGGATGATAGAGAGCTTCTAAGGGAAGAATAAATAAGGCCCACCCAGACATCTCAACTTCGTTGTAGTTCTTGACCTTGACAAGTAACAGGAGCCAACTTGAGAAAACTTGCACAAAATAGAGAATTTATGGGTAGGCTATCGGAAGAACTCTGAAACCCAAAAATCATTGGGTTACAGGAGAAACTAGAACCAGCAACTAGATAGCTTTTGGAAACCCTGACACCATCTTTTCCTCCATCTCTAATCTGCATTTTTTTTCCCCTGTGGCTCAACTTCATTCTTCTTTCTGCTGTAAATTTGTTCTCCTCTGTCCCACATGCGCATGTTGGAAAAAGGCCACCCAACAACGGGTTGTCCCTTTCCTTCAAAGAAACTAGTCCAGAGAAACTGGCCATGTGTAAATCCCAATGTGAAAATCCTGGAAGGAAGAATCTGGTTGTTTCTCTTGGAGCCAGATCTCTACCTACATATCAGACAATGCTGTTGGGTGTGGGGCCCCCAGTGCACACATGGCTGTTCTCAGTGAAGCAGTGTTTGGGGGTTGAGCAGATATGCCAGTTGGCAACCATGGCTATGATAGAGAGACACATTAGGTGACCCTATGACCTTCATCTCCTGGTGTTTGTGACCTTGAGTGTCGGCATGGCCTGTGACATACTTTTAACCAATAGACTATGACAAGGGTGCTCTATGTGATTATGTGTATCTGACTATGTAACATAAGATTGTAGCATCCACCTTGCTGCAGTCTTCCCCTCCCTGAGGGGTGGCAGGTGATCACGTTGGGAGACCCTTCATGCCACGGAACTGAGGGTGGCCTCTGATCAACAACCATCAAGAAACTGAAGTCCTCATTGTTATGGCCACAAGAAACTAAATTCTGTCAACAACCTGAATGAGCTGGGGAAATGATCCTTCCCTAATCAAGCCTCAGATGAGATCATAGCCCCAGCCAACACTCCGATTACAAACTCGGGAGATCTTAAGCAGAGGGCCCTTCTGCACCCTGCCTGGAATTCTGACCCACAGAAACTGTGAGATAACTCAGTGTATGCTGTGTGGAGCTGCTAAGTTTGTCGTGACTCTATTAGCAATACAAAACTAATAAAACCACACAATATTTTTCAATTGAAGATGCATAAGAAGGGACACCATTTCGCGATACAAACCTACAAGGTAACCTTTGAACTCAGGCCATGCTGTTCTTGGTGGTCAGAGAATGGCATGAGAGCCACACTGGATGGTCCGTTGCAGGGATGCCCTGAGCCGTCGGCAGGAAGTCACACAGTAGAGGAGGTTTAACTTTGACCCCCCCGGCCACTGCCAGGAAACTGATGTGTTCTGCTTGGAAATTTACTCAAAGGAGATGGAGTGGTGAGCTCACCTGGGGGCTTTGAGGCATGTATACCAACCTCAGGAGTTCACAGAGGTAGGGAGCCCAGTGGCAGTAGGTGGGTGGCCTAGGGAGGAATGTGAGATGGGGTGGCAGGAAGGGCAAGGCAGGCCAGAAGCTTCTGTTCTGCAGTCGTGTCTGCCGTTTAGCTTTACTCTGCCTGAACGAACGGTAGTCTCAAAATACTGATTTCTGATGCTGCTAAATTGGGAGTGGGGAGGGTTTCAGCACTGCCCAGGCCTGCTTGAGGGGGGGTCCTTCTCTCTCATCTCCAGCTTTAGTTACCATAGGTGGCTGGAAAGACAGCTGTTTTTTTCTCTTTCATGGAGAAGGAAGTGACCATGATTCTAGAAATATCCACAGGTTGTCCCAGACTTCACTGATAAAAATTGCCTGTGATCTTGTTAAAACTCTAGATTTCCAGAACTCTCTCTTGGAATTCCTGCTTTAGTCGGTCTAGGCTGGGCCGAGGAATCAAGTCTTTCAATGACTTGATTGCGTGACTCGCATGACTTGTGCCATCAGTGCAGTTTGGGAAACTTCTGTATGTGACTGTGGAATTTGTCCAGCATGATGTCAGTGGTTCTCACCCTCTGTTGGAGAGGTGGCTGCATTCCAAGACTGAAAAATGATGCCCTTCTCCCCCTAAGCCCCAAGAACTGCATAGAAAGCCCAGAGAAGCCATGCAGCAAAAGATCCGTTGATACATGGATTCCCAAATGGACTAACCATCCTCACTGCCCACCCACACACCCAAGGAAGGTACCCCTCCAGGAACCAGTCTTCTTGCTAAGACTCTTTGGGAAGTAAAACATAAGCACTGAAATTGAGGCTCACAGACAGAATGCACCTGAACCTTCATGGTCTGGGGGAGGTCAGGCAAAGCCCTTCACCTTTCCTCCCCTGTTTGTCTTTGTTTTCTCTGGACTGGGCAGCCCAGTCAGGCTGGCTCTCGTCTTGGCTTTAGTCTCTTGTTCTTCCTTGTCAAACCTCTACCCTCCCCACTAGAATGCCATTCTTGAGAAACCCATCTGCTCACTTGGAGCCAGCCTGTTCTGATTCTGAGTACATCCGTGTTGGAAAGGGCTGACAGAAGCAACCTCACTTCTCCTTGGTGTTCCCAGCAGAACCGTGAACAGAGGAGGGAGCCCGATGTGATTTTTGTAAGGCAGCGTAGAAGGAAGCCTGACTTTCAAGGAAAGCTCTTTTGGCTTCCGTGCTCTCTTTGATCTGGCTTTGCCCTCCTTCTCTGGTCAGCCCTTCTGGCTGCTGGCTGTGGTGACCCTGAGACCAGGCCAGCCAGCCCTGAAATATTTGCTATAAGAGCATGTCCAAGGACAGGCAGGAATTGACAGCTTCTATTGAACAAATGGACCCAGTACAGCTCCTGGCAAACAGAGGTGCTCCAGGCCCCATAAAACCACATGGCTGGTTGGTCTCCAGGAGGCATGGCTTGCATAAACACAATTAATGAGTCAAATGTAATAAAAAGGGACAGAGTTCCTTTACTCCTGAGTTTTGAAAATAAGAAAGAAGATGCAGGTCCTTGCAATACTTACTGCAATCCCATTTCTTGTCTTTTTCCTTCCTCAGACCCTGCAGCTACACTGGAACCACCCCAGCCCCCAACACACACACACACACAAACACGTGCACATACACAGAAACACACACTCACAACACACGTGCAGACACAACATACACATCTGACGTGCACACGTGCACACACCCTGCAGTGCTCCGAGAACAGTACCTTTCTTTCCTCCTTCCTCCCCCTGTTCTGGGTATTTTACTACCGAGCCTGACTCAGCCTCTCCCGTGCTTTAGGTCAGATTCTGATCTCTCACAGAGGGTGCCTGAGGGGGAGAAATGGAGGCCCCAACGTAGGATTCTCTCCACTGGGCTGGGACAGAAGATGGACCTGTGAACACTCCTCAATCCATTTATCCCATTCCATGCAGCATTATTATAGGCAGATGAGAAATCCTGTATAGCTGGCTGCTTAAAGACAGAACTTTCCAATACCTGGAGGTCAGAAAACTGAACTTTGCCTCCACTAGACTGTGAGCTCCATATCAGGCGGCCCTGTGCGCTGCAGGTTGAATCTCTCCCCAGCATCTAATCATGTGTCACACTTGGCACTACATCTCCCAGAAGGAGTCATGTATTGGGTTGTTATTATGTACAGACAGGTAATTTACATATATTAATTAATCTTTGCTCCAATCCGTATCATTGAAGAGTATGAGTTTTAATATAGTATTAATAGCACTTAAGTACATATCTAGTCCTGGCTAAGCACTCTTGTAAGTTTTTAACAAACATTCACTTATTTAATCTTCACAATCATACCAGGAGGCAGATGCCAGTATTACTGCTGGTTTACGTGTGGGGAATGTAAGGCACAGCTTGGCTCTGCACTTTGGCAAGGTGGTGGTAAGTGACGAAGGCCTAATGGGGACCCAGTCCTTAGCTGAAGCTTCTCACGGTCTAGGGGTCAGAGCATGTTCTCTGGACATGAGCAGCTTGATTGGAAGAGTGACCCTGCACTTTCTAGCTACTTGAGCTGAAGTCACTTACTTAACCCATTCAAGCCTCAGTTTCCTCAGCTGGACAAAGAAGATAATAGAGATTTTAAACTCAAAAACTTTCTATGAGGACTGAGTTAATACATCTTTTTAAAACAATGCTTGGCATTGTTTGATACAAACCCTTCATGAAAAAAGAAATCATTATCAATATTAGCACCATGTTGCAGATAAGAAAACAGGACCAGAGAAGTTAGGTCACTTGCCCAAGGTCACACAGCTCATCAGTAGCAAATGTAAGGTGGAAACCCAGGTTTATCTGCCTCTTATCCTTGTATTCATTTATTTAGCCAACTTGCCACTCCATTTTCATTGAGATCCAGGGTTTGAAAGTACAGCAAATTGTTTTGATAGTTCATCTCTTCTGAGCGAGTACCACTCTTGCATAGAGCCAGCTCCCAAGGACAGTGGACGCTCTAGGATGCATGTTCCCAACGCTGTAGATCATCAACAGAATTAAATCTAAATGCCAGATTACATCCTGTCTCTTTGGCCTTTCCTAAACACACATAAAACTAAAATCTTTTTCAACTGCTTTGCTATTTTCCAAAGCATTTTCCAGATGCATTAGTCTCCCCAGCCTTCAAAGTCCTGCTTAGCCCTTCTCCCTCAAGGGCACCTTGGCCTGGACTGTGGTTCAGTACATGTGACTCAATTCTACCTTCGCCAGACAAGGTCCTTCAGACATCCTCTACAATGTATGAATCTCCAAAGTGTGTTAGGAAAACTGAGGCTCTGAGGGTCATGTGCAGTTCCTAAAGGGGTGGCTGGTGGGAGCAAAGGTGTGTCTCTCAAACTCCAGGTCACTGTTGGAGGGAGGTAAGTTGAGCCCAAATTAAAGGAAGCCCTATTTGCATCTCTGGGAGTAAATTCATTTACTCTCACCTCCCTATCCCTGAAAGTGCTACAGATTAAATGCTCAGTTGCTTCAAATTAAACTTTAAATCATTTCAAGAATATGTTTTATACACAACAAGTTCTTGGTGAGTTACATAGAAAGCAAGAGGGACTAAAAACAAACTAGCCTATTTGTATATCTTTGACTTTTTTGGTTGATGTCAAAAGAATAACCATATTTTCCAACAAATGTATCCGACATGATTTTGGCATGTTTTCTGGTTTGAAGAATGATCTTTCCATTGAGTAAATTTCAGTAATGCTCTATTTGCATATAATTAATGGATAAATACCATCCACTCATAAATTAAAATGAAAAATACTATTGTTAGTAAATCAGAGTAATTGACTTTAATAAAACATTATATATATGAATAATCTGGGGGCTGGAATAGAGCTGTATAACTTTTGCATTCAGAAATCAGAGCCATAGTAAGCATAAGAGCTCTAGCAAACTATAAAGCATGGTTTTTATTAGGATTTCCCATGTCTCTGGTGTAGGGGGGAAATATAACTATGCATACAAATCATATTGCATTGACTTAAAATGTTACTTGCTTATAGAAAAGTCCAAATTAAAACAAAACAAAACAAAAATGGATTAACAGATAATTTTCTCAGCCAGAGATGGATTCTACCCTATATTTATTAGTTGACAAGTGTTTTAACAAAGTGTCTTAAATTACCAGGACTATTAAGATGTCCTGTTACATCCTTGCAACATAACCTAATATTTTATGATTCAAAGAACCTAAGTACAATTTTTTTCCCTAAACACAAGCAAAAAAGTACAGACTTTTAAAAACTTAAATAAAAGTATAAGGACATCAGTGGGATATTGTATTTTAAAGCAACCCTTGGGAGATCTTTCTGTGATGTCAATAATCAGTTCCTGATGTATCTGCTTTTTTTTTTTTTGAACTCATCTTCTTGTATCTAAAGTAAACTTAATAAGAAAAAGTAGAAGTCCTTCTTAAGCTTTTGTAATTCACAAAGTTTGAATCCATTGCATTAAGGAAATGCTATTTTTTTAAGTCTTTGATAGTACAAGCTATTAAAACATTGCCTTCACTGTCTCAGGGAGAAAACTGTCTCAATTCCAATGATCATTTTTTAAAGCTCAGTGTTTGTTGGAGAACCAATACGAATTTTTGAAAACTCTGCCCAGCTTGTTCTGATGGTCTAGGCACCTTCCGTCAGTCTGCTGGGATCTAGGGACATTAGAGCCGTCGCTGAACATAGTAGGGCTGCCACTTCTTACAGGCCGATTTTAGCTGCTGTGGAGAGTTAGTTCTACTCTTAATATCCTGCCTCACCTGGAGCCCAGCGTGCATCCCATTTCCTATTCCTACCAAACCAGTTTAGAAGAACACTGAACACACCCACGGGTTCAATCGTTTTTGACAAGTCTCAGAAGCCCAAGGCTAGCATTCTGAGACATGTGAGCACCTGGTTGAAGGGAAGATTCCAATGAAGGGACAAGGGGGAGCTCCCCGACAAGAGCCCTCAAACTGTGGCTGCCTTTAACTGAGTCTGTGGTGAGGCAGGTCTCAGAACCCTGCATGCATTTGCCCTGCCTGGCCTCTCGGTGAGGAAGTTCTACCTCTTAACAGGTATTTCCACAGACTCCCTGTCCAACTCCCTGCTACTGGTTGGTACTGACCAAGCCTTTTCTTGGAAAACGTAGGATTCTTCCTTACTTAAAGTGTGGAGAAAACTCAAGAGACCAAACACTCAGAGGAAAGAGATGGTAGCAACAGAAAAACAGATTCTGTGGCAACAGATTAGACTCTTTTAGTGTGTATACACAGTTTCACCTGGATATTCATTTCTCCTGAGACTTAATTTTCCATCCTGAGTGTCTGAAGTTTTGAGTATAGATCCAGGTCATCCCCTGCAGTTCCTTTCAGCTTCTAGGTCTGTGAGCACAGAGTTTAAATTATTTTGTTCTTTAGTGGAGTTACTTATTTCTCTACTATGAAATATATGGTCTGACAGAAGAGCTAATGGTCCTGGGGTTTATTATGTCTTTCCCTCTTTTAAGAAATATGCTGCATTCCCCATGAGGGCAGGGATAATACCTCATTCCTCTTAGGATCTGCCTGAAGCAGGAGGTCCAGCATATTCAGACCTGATTTGAAACGGCATGTTTTGATCACTTGATATTTAAGGTCCTTAGAGACCTGAGCTACACAAAGAGGGTTAAGGATTTAGTCTTTAAAACAGAAGAAAAATGTTAAACGATGTAGATCTATGTACCCTGACACAGATCTCTAAGATATAATCTTGAAAAAAAGAAAAATGGAACAATACTTCCAATGTGATCCCACTTATGTTGTTTGAAAGAGAAAGCAATCTCCAAACTATTTGTTCCCTTAGGTGTATATCTCTGAATGCGAGCACAGGAAAACAACAGCAACAGAAAGACAATTCAATGTGCTGTCGACAGTGCAATCTTTGGGACGAAGATAAAATGAAGGTAAGAAACCTGGCATTATCTGATGCGTTTGTACTTGTAACAACCAAACACTTGATGCAGTACTTGTATTTTTAAAAACAAGCCAAAAAGTAAAAGGTGGAAACACACAAAATACCTCTTAAAACAAGATCAGAGTGATGTGGAAAGGGTAATGTTGGGGGCACTTTTCAAAAGTGCTCTGGAATGTGATCTAGATTAGGAGAAATCATCCTAACATGCACCAAATGCAACATGCAAGCTGACCCATTCTAACCACAAATCTTAAAGAAACATGTTTTAACGTGGATGTCAATAGATATAGATTTACATTGAAAATAAGTCATTATTTTTTATAAATTTCCCTTTGGGGATGAATATACAGGTGAAAGAGACATTTAGGTTATAAAGGGATAATTCCATTTAAATCTTAAATATTTTAGCACATGTTTTTGGTGGGGATTTGTAAATTATCTAAAAATTCTAATGAAAGTTCACATGAATGCTTGACAAAATATTTACAAGGAAAAATTACATCATGGCTGAAAATGTAATCTTTCCACAAAACCAGCAATTGATTTAACAACAACAATATGTTCTGTTCAGTGAAAGGGAAAAATATCAACCAATAGTTGTATATTATCTGAATAACCATATGGTGGGACTTTTGTGACCTCCCAACCAGCTACTTCTGTGTGTGTTACAGGAAGTACTGGTGGAACATCCTGCAGTTTGCTTTATTATTAATTACTTTCCCTGCTTTAAAGAAGGACTGCTAGGAAGGCCCCCTAGTGGCCAGTTACCTATTCTGTCTCTCTTTGGTCAGCATGTCCAAAATCCTTAACTAAGAACAGTTCTGCGCCGGGCTGCATTTCCATTTAAGCACTATTATTAGTCAGAAGTACATTTTAAAAACCAGCTTTTCTCACAAATGGCTAAAACTTCCACAGCTGAAATATTTATTCTCTTTTCAGAATGCGTTTTTTGTGTGTGTGTTTACAAACAGAGCTGCTAACAGAGAACACAATCGTATTTCTGTTTCTCTCTTGACTACTAGTCTATTTGAAGGGTTTGCTTTTTCCTAACTATTTTTTCTCCAGGAACACTCACCCAAATAACCTTTCATGATATATTACTACGTATTTCTCACTGGAATGTCTTTATTATCCATTTTTTCTCCAACTTGAGTTTGCCTGGGTAAAATAGCATAGTCTTAAATTGATGTATTTGGAAATAATCTATTTTTGAAAGAATAACAGATTTCATTTTCAAAAATATTCAAATGTTATTTAAGGAGCGTTGAGGTGAATGTGGTATCACCAGGAATAATAATACTGAAAGCAATTGTATCTCAAATTTTCCTAACAAAGCAACAATAACTCAATTTATATGTTTTTTGAAATAAGACTTTCTCATTTGGAAAAAATTATGTCAAATTATACAGATTTTACATACCTTTCACCAATGTTTATTTTCCTAAAACCTCTGCATTAAATGGAAATGTCTTAATCATCCTTTAAAAGGAATCAGTAAAAACAAAACACACAACCCTCAATCGACTCAACCTTTGGATAAAGTAACTCTTGTTTTCAAGATTCACCTTTCATCTACATACTAATACAAGTCTACAGCATTTCAGTGCTTGTAAACGCAAAAGCAAATGAAAGGCAGTGATGAAGGACTAGTTATGGCTCAGTTTGATTTTGTGATTCTAGTCCTCTCCCCTCAGTTTGTACAGTTTCTTCTCACTAATCTTTATTATCTTATTTCATTGTACTCCTTTCAATAGGTGAGTGACTTTGATCATTTTTTCAAAGATGAGAACACACATGAGCTATGGGTACTCAGATTTTTTCTGAACCCTTTTGTACAGAATTATGCAAAACAAGAGAAGATGCATCTTTCCCCTTTCAAAACATAGCTCGTGTTTCATCACTAAATTTATATACATCATCATTTCTAGAAGCTCCTTCTTATGTTGTCATTGGTGGAGCAGTGGGATAGGAAGATAGTTCTGGCCGTGTAAATTATTGCTAGCAAGATTATTCATGAACACAAAAAGTAGAAACTTCCTAGTCAGGCATTTCAGTTAATTTCCAAAAATGGCTGATATTATACACTTTAAATGAGGACAATTTCAAAATCATCATGGCTTAATTAAGGAAAGAGCCAAAAATATCTCCTTAAATGTTCTTTGAACTCCATTAGGTGTCCCCTGCCTCCCTTTGTGCACTCGTAAGAGATAAAGTATCAATATGAAATATTGCTACTTTATTTTGACAACTTTATTTTGGGCTTTAAAGGAAGTGGAAAATTTTAAACATGTTAACCAAACAGACTGAAGAGATGATCTCTGTGCTGCCTTTTTGTGGGATGAACGATCAGCCCTTACACACTCTCAAGCTCCTACCTTCCCCAACCAGCCAGCAGCCATCACACCATGTTGCTCGTACAGACATTAGGCCCTGCCGTCTTTGCTGTTAGAATATATAATCACCCAGAGTTAGAAGTGGAAAATGGGAGCCCCCGATCATAAGCTCATAAAAGGCAATTTCAGTGTCAGAGTGGTGGACTGAATAAATATAGAAGGGATTTATTATGAAGTTCTGTAGTGATGTTGGCACCAGCAGCTCACTGCTGGGCAGCATTCTATCGCCAAAATCCAGGAACCAGCACAAACATTGAACCACTGTGTTCTCAGTGACAATAACAAGAGTGGCTTGATGATTGGCTGGCATGGCCACAAAAGACACATGCTGGCATGTTTCGGAACATAAATGATAGATCTGCTGCTGGGAGTTTATAATTATTTAATCAAACCCAGACTGTAGGACCTGGAGGGACGTCGTGTGTCCTCCCAAGAGCGGAAAAAGGACAGAACTCAAATGTTGATAGATTCCAGGGGGACCATGAGAGGCAAGCAGCCAGGCGAGTGCGTGCTTTCCCTGGCCAGCCAGGGCCCATCCCAGGCCTGGTGAAGGGTTACTTCCCCTGGGTCACATCATCCCCGAGTCAGGACCAGGAGGAAGTGAGTTACCAGCCATCCTCTTGATGTACTGATGGAAGAGGAATCAATTATATTTCCTTTCATGGAATGAAACTTACGTCCTGCTCTGAATAGGAAATCACTCATTTGCTCCAACTCTTTTTCTATAACACACATACACACACACACTCACACAAAAGACTTGTGCCAGCTGCTTGCTTTATGTATACATAGTTTTCAATTTTGACAGAATAAAAAGCTCCACTCCATTCAACCTCTACATCCCATGTTTGGAAGATAAAATAATGGGCACACCATGGTTATGAAACATTCTTTGACCCTGGATATTTGGAGACCACGGTCTGGGACTCTTCAAATCAGCTTTTAATTCCATCATAATCTGATGAAAAAAGAAAGGGGAGGGGATGAGACTTTTACAAGCAATGATTGTGTGTTTTGGTGGAAAGAGAATAAATTATCAAATTAAATTAGCATTACATTTCATTCCTCATTCCTAAGAGATTTGGAAATTTAAATAAGGTGCTCGCATGGATTTGGTTGTGACCTGCAAGTTTTAAGTTTCTGTTCTAAAGCTCCTAAAATGGACTGATGGTGTCATAAAGGCACAGTTGTTGTTGTTGTTGTTGTTTGTTTGTTTTTTTAAGGATATTGAGTTAAAGCAAAAAGTCAATGTGATCTCAATATAACTAATCAAAGTGTTAATTCCTAAAGCTTTCTCCCATTCTGGATAACAAATTCTTCATTCTAGTTCTGCCTGCCCCTACTTCTCCATTTGCATTTATTCTTTCTGTACAGAAATGCTTTAGAGGGTAGATGCTACCAGCAGAGCAGATAGTAACTCCCTTGTACTCTTTTCATCTTGAAATCTACATGCGATGTTCAAACCGGGGATAGGATACTACTTTTTAAATTATCCAAGGAAAGGTTTAGCTCAGTGGTGGAGTGTGTGCTCAGCATGCATAAAGTCCTGGGTTCGATCCCTAGTACTTTCATTAAAGATAAATAAATGAATAAAAACCTAATTACCTCCCCCCAAAAAATGTTTAAAGGAAAAAAAAAAAGCAAACATTTCGTGAGGTCCTGGGTTCAATCCTCAATACCTCTTCTAAAAATAAATAAATAAACCTGTTTTCCCCCACCCCCCTAAAAAGCAATAAATAAATAAATAAATAATCCATGTAAGTTTTTTTCTCTAAATACAGTATTTTCTTCTTCATAAAGAGCCATAAAATTATACAAGTGGCACATGAGTACATTTTCATTGTGCATAAAATTCAGAAAGAAATGAGAACCCCCCTATTTTGCCCCCAATCCTAAATCCTACTCCCTAACCCCAAGGGTAACCATTGGTAATAGATTGGGTGTGTAAATTTTTTCCCCCATATGCTCTTTGTAAGGAATAAATTTCAGAAACAATGTATGGAAAATATTTAACCTTCCACCACGATTATTAAGTTTTGATGTTTAAGAGGGAAAAATGCCCAAACACATAAAAGTGGAAAATCCCCAAACAATTTGGTGAGATATGAATTGTAGGTTTCTTCGTTCTGAAAAGTCCTCCAAAGGTTTGACAGACGTACTTTCAAACACATGTAAAGACATATCTGCTTCTAGGAAAAAAAAGCTAAAAATGAGGTCAATTTCTGTAGAAAACACAGAATCTTTTATCAGTTTCCAAAGAGGAGAAAAAAGGGCTAGAAGGGAAAAAAAATTAAACCATATTTTTACCACTCACATCTTATGTTCAACCAGTTTTGTCTTCCCTTCTGTAGTGCAATGGCATAATTCTTAGAACGTTTTGTGAGTTTGGGTGATTCTAACCCAGTATATAAATCTTCTCATGATACAAATGTACATTATTTTTAAAATGCTGGGTTTTTTTAATTGGCATTTTAATAAGATAATAATCTTTTATCCCTCATTTATATACCTTAAGTAATGCTAAAATAGTTTATTTAGAATCTATAATTAAACGAAGATGTAGACTTAATTTAAAGGTTGCAGTCAACACTACAGTTTTGTTTTATAAATGAATTAAGAGGAATTCAAGTGAGCAGAAGAGGTTGGGGTGCTGGTGATCAACAGTCTGCTTATATATAAAATGATTAAGCAAAGATAATAAAAAAAGTATCCAGAGAATCTTGCACTTTTCCCCTTTCCTCCCTCCAAAGATGCATGGGAATTTCCATGCTCATGTTGTAAGCATGTTCTGTGACTAATAACTTATTGTTTACAGTTGCTAGCCTGTGCTGAATTTCTTTAAGGGCGTTAATTATCAAGGGTACCATTTTCTATTGCCTGTCTGAGTAAGCTCAGGAAGAGGATGACATTTTAAGTACACCTTTAGGCTATACTCTGTCTTCACATGATGCTAAACTCGGAGAACAAAAGACAAAACCAATCTAAAAAACCACCAAGCCATTTGCCTGGCACCACATAGTCAACAGGTCCAGCCAAAGGATTGAATGCTCACATTTTATTTGCCTTTTAACTAAAATCCTTGTGCAGAGAGGAGAGAGAGAGAGGCGAGAACTCTGTAGCAAGAAGACATGTGATCATTCCACTTCAGAGTGTGCTGTAAGTGAAATGGAATATCTCGTCCCTGACTTTGAGGAACACACAACCTGGTGCAGAAGGCCAGACAAACTGCATAAAATTAAAGGATAGTTCTGACCAAGGGCAGTAAAACAAGATTTATGTTGTAAAGTTCCAACAGAACTTCATGTAAAGAAGTATCTTTATGTTGTTTTCTTTTTCTGTGTTGTGTTCTTTGTCTTTCTTTTGCAGAGAGGTGGAATTGAGTAATAGTTCAATGATCTGCTGCTCGGCCAATATTTTCCCGCCAGAGTTCAAGTTTCCTCTAAATAGCTTCATTCAGATCATTCACGCAGCAGGTATTTATCAAGCAATTACAATGTTCTAGCAGTAATGTATTAGTGATCGAGTGACAGCAGTCAACAGGCCAGGTGCTGGGAGAGGTGCTGTTTTAAGGAGAGCAGAGGAGTTTAGAAACAAGGAGGACTTACAGAGATGGAGAGAGCTCCCTTACCAGGTTTGAGAAGCAGGAGGTAACAGAGGAAGTGACGTGGAGCTGGTAAGAAGAGCAGTGACTCTTAGAGATGAGCAGGAGTGAGCAAGAGGAAGGGATGGGAGAAGCCAAAGCAGGGTGCGTGCAGAGGAGTCCAATATTCACCTCAATGGGAAGCAATACTGCAGTAGTGTTACAAGCTTTACACCTGTACTTTTCTGGAAATCTTGAATGTGATTGTCAGTTGCTCATGCACTCATGGAATGAATGCATGGTTCCATGGACAGGGATTTCTCCAGGGCAAATCATTGCCGTATCTCTAGCACATAAACCTTGTCTGGCTCCGAATGGATCGATTGGTAGGAATTGGCATGGAGTTTATCCATGGAGTGCAGTCCAAATATGATATATTGTTGTCAAGTTTTCCAAGGCAAAGGGAGACCATTTTCTAGAATCTTCTATGCCTGATGCCACAGGAAATGGTTAAAAAAATCTCTCTTTGGAGAGGCATCTCTTTTTGGCCTTGATCACGTCATATTACGTGAAAGAGCTTGGCTTTATGGAGGCTTTCAGAGGCCACAGCCAATGAATGTGCCTAGCCTTCCCGGCAGCCCTGACTTGCTCCTTTGTAGCATTGGGTTTTTCCACACACATAGGGACAGTATTTTCAGAAAAGATAAGGCATGTTTTTGTATAATTCTTCTAAATTAGTTCCTTTCTCTATTAGAAACCTGGTAGTTTCATATCAAGAGGGAAAACTCTGCTGCCTACTCTCCAGTGTTTTAAGAGTTAAGGTAGCATTTATGGGCTCCAGTCAATCTCATAAAGTTGAAAATGAGCCCAGACCATCTCCTTTTAGCCTTATTAATGAAAAAAAAATTGGCTGAACTAGACTCTGAGCTGAATTTTCTTTGAGTTAAAGGAGAACCAGGTGAATCATCTCAATGGAGGAAAGTCAGCCTTCTGTCAAAACTCCAACCTATTCAGTTACTGAGGGCTTCTAAAGGAGCAGGGAAAACTTCAACAAGGACCTTCCCCAAGTGCCTCCAGTAGAAGTTCTGTGCAGTGCCAACCATAAAGCAGGAGATGGAAATTAGAAAATGAGGGCTGAGGACTGGAAAGGGGATGACAAGTGGATATCAGTTCTGACTGATTAGTGACTACTGCTTGAGCACTGCGTTGGAAGGATCAGAGACTTGCATCTGGAGTCATTGGAGAGGCCATGATTGATTATCAATGTCTGCCTTGGGTAGAGAGGGATGCAAGTCCAGACGTAATCACTCTCACTGAGAGGTGCTTACATCCCTCAAGTTCAAACTTTCTATGAGTCTGTGGAAACAAAAACGTTATTTGGAAACAGTTGATAACTTTTCAAAGATGTAAAGATATCAAAGCCTACAGACTCTAAATAATTAAGTGGTATGAAAGACTATAAATAAATTACATGGCATGATATTTAGCAAATGGCACATGTGGGATCACTTAGGGATCGTTTGTCCACGCGCTTTCTGAGTATTTTAGCTATCCATGCTAAAATAGTCATCCATGTCTGGAGCATCAGTTTAGAGTGAGGGGGAAATATTAGTAATGATAATGGCCATAATAAATAATAGTAACAGCAACAATAGCTAGTATTTACTGAGCAACTGTTAGGTACCAGGCCCTCTTTTGTGTTTTATATATACATGATATCAGTTATACCTCAGAAGAGCCTTGAAGGAGAAACTGTAGAGGTAAAGTAGGTTGGCCAAGATCACACAGTTAGAAAGTGTTGGCAGAGCTGTGATTCAAACTGAGGCAGTTTTGTCGGGTGTTGACCAGGGTTTCAGTATTCGCCATAGTATTACACTGCACTCATGTGTCATGTGGAGTCAAAGGTCCATGTGTTGATAATAAATAATAATACAGGGTGACCGTAACGACTTTTTTCATGCTATACAGAAGTTATCCAGAGGGATCTTCTACACAATAGACATTTTCCTTTTGTAATCTCAGAGATTCTGCCTAACTGTGGTTGAATACCTCTAACAGCCAGGAGGGACTACATTAATGATTTCAATATTCAACACGGATGATGTCCAGAAGATTATGGGAAATAATTGAAATCTGGGCAGGCACGTAGGGATAATTTCGTGGAGTAGGTTCAAGGCTTTATGCCTCCATAGGTTTTCTCTGAGCACTCTGTGTGCCAGATTTGCTGAGAAATGACCCAGACAAGGGCCTTTCCTCAGACTGCAGAGTCTATGGGGAGGCCAGACAGGCACATAAATAAGCAGAATAGAAGGCCAAAAGTGACTAATTCTAAATGGGTGGCATGGGAAAAATGGTCTGGAGAGAAGGGAATCTGAACTTGGCTTTGAAGTTTGAATAGTGGTCCAAAGGCACCAGGGACAGAATTCCCGGCAGCAGGAACCAAGATGAGCAAAGGCCCAGAGATGGGGTAGATCATTGTACATTGGAGGATCTCTGGATTTGTTGAAGCAGAACAACATATCTTGGAGGGAGGGAAGAGCCAAAGGAGGGAGCTGGAAACATATTTGGGGCCTTAAAAACCATAACGACTTGGATTTTGTTCTGTCGGCAATGGAAAGCCATGGAAAGCTTTGGAGTAGAGGAGTGTTATTCAGAACGGTATTATTGAATGATTATTTTGCAGCAGGGCAGAAGCTGGATTGTAAGGAAAAACACTGGAGACAAAGATACGCAATTGAAAGGCTACTTCAAAAGCCTGGGCAAGAGTTAATGAGGGCTTGACTAAGGTCAGGGGCTGGAAGGAGATGTATGGGAATCCCTGTGAGAAGTGAAACTGACAGGAAGCAGGTGCTGCAGGAGCAGACACCTCTCACGTTCAAGGCCAGCATGGCCTCTCTCCGAGTCTCAGCCCTACACTATGGTTATGTAGGGGCAAGAAGGTAGGGGCCTTGCTCTGGGGAGTGGGTCAGCAAGCTTCTGCTTTTGGAAGACTGTACCGACCGACCTCCAGTGTTCTTCTAGGGCCTTGACATTCACTTGACCCCAGCCAACATTTTTCTTTCAGTCATGCTTGTACTTTTCCACTTAAATGAGACGCAATCCCAGTTCCGCAGGGATTCCAGGGAGCTCAGAAGGGTGAAATCATCTCCCGTCTTGGGATATAGCAGGCACGTTATAGCTCTGTTTTCAATCCTAGAATCTGGGAGTTGGGAAGGACCTTAACCATCCCATCTGACTCCCCTTGGGCAAGAGAGAAAAGTATGCAAACAGATCATCAACAATATTGGGGAGTTTGTGACAGTGAGGCTGACACAGAATGTTTGATCTCTCGGGGACCAAGACTTTATCCTCTGTCTGTCCGATGGCTGTCCAGAATCCACAATGAGAAACAAAGGAGCCTGTGTTTACTAGGGTGTATTTTGGGAGGGAAGCAAATTGGTATTGCATTAGTTGTCTCAGATCAGTAAAATACTAAATTGCTATAGAAATATACCTTGTCTTGAAAGGAAACCCCTGAGTTAATACTTCTGTATTAAATTAAGCTAATACCATATTAGGCTAAACTGATACTGTGCTAATCCAGAGAGTGAATGAATTTAGATATGCATATTAGTACTTAGATTAAAACAACCCATAGCTAAATGCTCTGTCATGAACTTGATGTAGCAAATAAAGTTGTAGTTTATTGCAGTGTCTCCTCCTGGTTGCCATCCTCCTCTTCAGTTTTTAGTGTCATAGTCTTTCGGTGGCAGGTCATCATGTTGTTGACTTAAATTAAGGGCATTTTTTTAACCTATATTAAAATTCAAAATAAAACTCATTTTGCAGTATGCTCAGATTACTCCGATGCTCCAGAAGGAAATAGCTTCATTCCTCCGAGTCAGCTGGAGCAGGCCGCCAGTACATGTGGTCAGTCCTTTTCTTGCCCCGTCCAGATGTTCTGCCTTTAAGAATGTTCTTGTGTCTGCAGCACACCAGCCCTGTTCAGGAGTCAGGATGTGGAAGGAGTCAAAAGGGCTCCTCTCACAGATCTGCCATTCAGTTCGCCGCCCTTTCACAATGAGCAGACGAAGGACTGTGAGGGGGATGGCGTGGCGGAGACTGTCTCCCTTTCTTGCTCACAGATGTGACTATCCATCCCGGCTTTCCTTTCTAAGCCCTCCACAATCCGTCCGGGGGTGGGGGTATTTGTAGTACAAGGACATTATTCTGAAATCTGTCAGTCTTCATGTTAAGTGGATTCTTACATGTTAGCGCCTGTGCTTATTTTTGAGTAAATTTATGTGTGGTCGTAAGAGCGTTCTGAGACAGGGTGATTACTCAAGGGGCCATTGTACTCACTCAGGATAAATGGAAAGGGAGAAGTTTGGGCTTGGCTATTTCTTGGATAAGGGAGCTCCTTGGGGGCATTAGCCTGCTGTCCAGGTAGGTAAAGTGTCTGAGGCTGATTAGAATGGCCATAGTAGCTGTGATCATCTGTAGGGCTCACCTGGGACGGTCCTAGTCACAGTACGGTCTGTGGTCTGACAGCATTGGACTTGGTTAGAAATGGAGCCAGCCCTTCTCCAGTCTCACCCCAGACCCACTGAATGAGTCTCCAGGAATCTGTATTTTAACAAATTCCCCAGGTGGTTTTTATGTGTGTTAAATTGTGAGAAGTGTCGATCTGAGATGTGTGGGTGTGCCAGTCCCTGAAACTATAAGTAAAATCAAGCTTGCCCATTGACCTGGTACTGTCATTCCCATGATAACCTCTTTCCCCTTTAACCCTTATGTTCAGGAAACGTAACTGTAAATGGAGCCCGTTTACCTGCTTTCTCAGCTTCTGTGAGTCTTTCACAAGTTGCTGGGATATTTTGAAATTATATGTTTTAAATATAGGGCTGGGAATGT